TAAACAGAACTTGATAAGAAGGCAAGACAGGGAACTAACTGGGATGTTACCTTTTAAACAATTCTGTGAAGGTGATGATGAGCAGCTACTTACTTAAGGGTGGTCTGGCAATTAAAAGAAGGAAGAATGTGGGCAGAAAGCCCAAGGAGAGAGAGAGAGGAGGGACTTTCAACCTTTCTTTTTGGTATCAGGGACTGAACCCAGGGATGCTCACCGACTGAGCCACATCCTCAGCCCATTTTCATTTTTTTGAGACAGAGTCTTGCTAAGCTGCTTAGGGCCTCACTAAGTTGCTGAGGCTGGCTTTGAACTTGGGATCTCCTTGCGTCAGCCTCCTAAGCCACTGTAATACAGCAGTGTGTCAATGACCCTAGTTTAACTTTTTTTTTTTTTTAAAGAAGGAGATTTCCAATGAATCCTTAGGTAGAAGATCAATACACAAATCAGATAACAAAAGTCAAATAGAGCTTTCCTAAATTAAGCAACGCTTGTATCCCTCCAAGTTCTTCTCTTCAGGGACTGTCCTGATGTAAGTAATACCATAGAGCTTATTATTCTAATTCTACATAATCATGCATTGTGTTCATAAGCATGTAACAGTTTGCTGAGCACCGTCCCTTTGATTCTTATAACAATTCTATGTACTAAGCAGACTACATATTGACATTTTCATCGACACTTTGGAAATAGCTCAGCTAAGGCCATCTACCTTATAAATGATAGATCTGGGATCTAAAGCAGGTCTTCAGAGGTCGTATAGTATGATATACAGGTAGAATATCACCTCCTTGAAATGCTTGGGACCAGATGTGTTTTGGGTTTTAGATTTTGTCTGTGTGTGTGTGTGTAATATTTACATATATCTAATAAGATATTTGGGGGATGGTACACAAGTCTAAACATGAAACTGATTTATGTTTCATATACAAATTACACACAGAGCCTGACTGTAATTTATCCAATATTCTTAATGATTTGGGGTATGAAACCAAGTTTAAGTTTCCACTGTGGCACCCTGAAGCACTCAAAAAGTTTTGCACTTAGGATTTTGGGATTAGGGAAGCTCAACCTGGACTATGACATCCTCCAACTTCAGATCACGACACTCCCACTCACGGTCAATGTGTAGTAGAGAATCTGGATAGCCCACCAAGAGCACATATCACCAAATTAAAAATTTAAAAATAAACAAATCTGACTTTATGTTTGACCTACATAAGTAGATAAGTATTTCTTTTTAAACTTAACTCACACAGTCAGTGCAGCAATGATCAAGTAAACATCTCCCCCACCTGGCCCCACTAAGTCAATCCGCACAAATTTTAGGGGGATAAAATAAGTGACAAAGATTTCCTCTCTGAGTCCCATAAAAGAGTGTCTCAGAAATCTGACTTTTCAACTGAATTAGTCAGAGAACTTTTTAAAAATGCAAATTCCTATCCCCTCAACCGAAAACACAAAGCAAGATGTCTGAATTGGAGCTATCCTTCAGATGCACGGTTAGGTCTGGAAAACCCTGGTATAAAACTCACACTGTGGACTCAACCTCTCCGGTTACTTGCTGAGAGTGGGCTAGAAGTTTTAGAAGAGGGCTTTTCAGGCCACCCCAGTATCATTTATTCAATTATGGCATTAAATTATATCCCAGTGACCCAAAAGAGTTGGTGCATATCCAATTATGCCTAATTTATACCCTGGGATGATGTGGTGGTTCTGGCTCAGTGTAAAATCCTGGTAGAATCGCAATTTAACAAGCTTGACAGGGCATCAAAATTGCTATGTTGTCTCCAAACCTCATTAGCTGGAAGCCTGCACTTTCCTATAATGTTCACAGGGAGTATAAACTATTATTATTTTTCTATTTGTTTATGTAAGGCAAATGTTCTGCAAATACTTTATTGAAAACAATAACCAGGCAGAAGGAGCCACGGTGAAAATGGGGTATCCACAGCAGTGACACTGGAGAGAGGACATACTTTGTTGTCCTTCATGGTTACAGTACTTAATGGAATAAATAAAGTTGACATGATTGGAAATATCCCGGCAGCTCACCGGCTGCAAGGTGCTTGGTTCCTGAGCCTTCTCTACGTGACCTCCATATTGAGTACCTCTGAACATGGATAGATTCCTAGCCTTCCCCTATGATGCTAACTGTCCCTCCTCCTCCATCTCTTTTGCTGGTGCTGGTGGTTTCTCCTGGCCCCAGTAGTGGCCACCCTCTTGCCCCCACTCAGCCCTTGTGCCCCTCTGACTCCAATTGCTTTCCCGTGAGGCCTCATGATATCAGCCACACTGATCTGTATTTCCGGCTCTTGCCCTTGGATGCTTGAGAAATTTCTACCTGAACAGACTTCTGCCACCTTACCCCCAACCATGTCACCACCTCTGTGACCACGGGGTGTCTTCTCCTCACCACAATCTCCCTGACTCTGGAGATGGGACTGTGATTCCTCCCCAAACCTCAGTCACAAGTGTGGGGCCACATGTGAAGCAGCGCTGTGAGGGACCGAGCGCTCTGGATCGAGAGTCACCACACAGGACCCGGTTCTAACCCTGCTCTGCCACTTAGAAGCTGTGGTCATTTCTAATCTCTGAACTTGTGTTCCCAATCAAAGAATGGGTAAAATAAGAACTTTCTCTTGAGGGTGTTGATGGGGTTGCTGGCATACCCCCAGAAATGTGCCTGGTGGGCACTCAGTAAGGGTCCACTCCACCCTTCCTCATTGTCCCTTGCAGTTCAGCCCCTCCTGGACACTCCTGCCCTTCCTTTCAGTTCTGTTCCTGAAACCAACACAGGATGGATCCTGATAAGTACAGACTTCTGGAAGTTTGTTCTCACGGTCACAATAGACCGAACCTATTATATTCGATTTGAAATTCTGTGGATCAAACTCAACTCTACCAAGTACCAAGCAAAATGAAACTCTCCAACCTTTACTTGCCACATCCACAACCTCAGGACCGGCAGGCAGTGAGGATTACATGAAATATCGACTTGGAGAGCTGGGCATATATCAAAACTCTATGAAGAAAGAGCAGCAGAGTCCTTTTCTCTTCATACGGATCTTCTGTTTCTACTAGATTACTCAAGGCAAATGTCTTTTCCTGCTCAAAGAACTCAAGAGCTTTCCTTACCAGCCACACTCCACAGTCAGAATACCTTTAGGAAAAAGTATGAACCACTTCTTTTGGCATTCAGGTCTTCCATAATACCGAATTCTCTGGTCTACCTTTCTAGAACTCGCTTTCTCTCATTTGACGAATCATAATCTAAGCCACTTGTAGAGAAAAGATCTTCTGGAAATGGCTTATGCCTTGGGTCAGAGAATAAATGGAGGGAACACAGGCAAGGAAGGAAACTTCTGTTCTGGCTGTCAGATGAGAGGACTTCATGGGGGGAAAGCAGGGAAGACCGTTGCAGCACCAGGGAGAATCAGCAACCTCCAAGTCCAAGGGTGCACACAGAAATCATGAAGAGCTTAACAGAGTGCCATCTTGGAAATCATGAAGAGTGGAGAAGGAGTCGAGTAGCAGAGCTTATTGACCAGAGACCACGTACCCTCATTTCTAGTGACCACGGATAACCAGAAGCAACTCATGCTCCTGAGACAGGAAGGCTGCAGGACTCCGGCGCAGCACTTGCCATGGAAGAGCTAACACACTCTGCTGGTGTGTTCTTCCAACGAAACCCTTCACCTGCACTGGTTTGTTAAGTGGGCCAGAGAGCAAGACCGACTTGCAGGGTTTCCTTTCCCCTGGGGCTGGGGCAAAACTCAAGGCCAACTGAAGCATGACACAGCACTTCCGACAAGTAACTGGATCCTGTACCGGGGTACCTGAGACACCAGGGTGACCTCAACCTCAATGACACCCAGCTACTCAGTCCGCTCTCCTACCCATCCCTCTTCAGACCACACCTGGCACATTGCTCCTGAGTTTCCTCCTTCCTGAAAATATCGGAGGCACAGTAAGGTAATTAGAAACCAGACAGATCTAGATCTATCTAGAAAATAGATTTGGACTCAAATCATACCGCTTCTACCTACAAGCTGTGTGAGTCCCAATTGTTCAAATAAGCCCTCTCTGCTTCATTTTCCTCATCTATAACATCAGGCTCCCTATTTTACTAATAGATTGCAAGAATAAATGGAGTTTTGCAGACAGAATGCCTGGCCCTGTGCACAGCAGAGAGCAGGCAAGTAACAAATGTTCACGCCACCCCCACGCAGGGGAATGTCTTTATGTTGACACAAATAGTGCCTGTGCCTGAGGTGCTAATTCTGGTCTCATCTCATTAAGCAACCTTCACTGAAAACTAATCCCAGTGATGGCCTCCATTCTGAAGTCCTACTTAGCTTAATAGATTTACTACTAACTTGAGCACGACAACTGCCATTGTTACTTATCTCTTCTGAGGCCGATGTCTATTTTTGTCAATTAGATGGGTGTCTCTGGTGGGGAGGGGCGCGGAGTTAGTGTCAACTGTACTCATCATTGTTAAAAATGTCCAGTATATTTATTGAGTAAAAGAATGAATAAGAAAATACCAGTGTGACACCAAGAGGTCAGTGGTCATGTTTTTAATATTATAGTTACCATCCAGTTCATGATGAGCATCAGATGTTTGAAACGTTTCAATGGAAGTTAGTGTGGAAGAGAGTGGACTGAAGGCATTGCAGGTAAAAAGTAAAATAAAGAGAGTGGCATTCTTGGGAAAATTATGGGGATCAAGTGGGTTGCCAGGGAACCTTTACCCACTTGGAATTAGACAGGAGCTTAGGCAACTGAAGGCATGTGACCTCTGTCAAGATCCCTCGTACCCACATTAAGCCATGCAAAGAACACTGGTAAAGCACAGGTGCCCTTGGCCATCCCTCACTCAGAACAACACTTCACATTCCCCTCCATCTTCCACTTGTGTTGGTGATGGAAGAGACAACCAGAGGTCTACCAAGTGTATTTTCTTTTACTTCTACCATAATAGAGCTGTGGTTGGACATGTGGTCATCTGTCCAGGTCTTGAATTTCCATTGCCCTTTGCTATACGGGATGGCTGTTAGGCCAAGTTTTTACCGATAGGTTAAGAGTGAACATCATGCATGCAGTCTAGAAGTTAGGAGCCTTAAGGTGGTGAGTGGACCTCTTCCACATTTTCACCTTTTCTTCAAGACCAGTTGGGAACTGGCTGCAGCAGTGACCTTAGCCTGGACCATGGTCCAACTCCTGGACCATGACAGAGCAAGAATAGGAAACGAACCTGGGACCTGAATAACCGTGGAACAGCCACTGTATCCTCTGAGGAGAGGTAAGATTAGCTTCTTGTTCATTATTCTATGCCATATAGTTAAAAACCAGGCAATTTTTGGGTCTCTTGCTAAAGCTTAGCTGCTGAAATCTAATTAACATATTATATATATATATATATATAACTTATTGAAATGTATTTCTATTTCAATTACAAACACATAATAGCATACAAAATATTACAGTGAGGTTTTCATTCTTACTGAATAATATTTTGGGGGATTTTTATAAGTCTTGTGGTATGTGTTTGCTATAGGTGACAAATAACAAGGACAGATACAAGATAGATAGACAGACAGACAGACAGACAGATAGATAGAGAGATAGAATCGTAGTTCTACCTTATTTTTGAAACACCACATAATCTTTCACAGTATCCAGTATCGACAAACCGCTCTCTGTTTAACCAATTTCCTCCCTACATTACTTTATTGATCAGCTTTGTGGTTATTTTTACTTTTCCCTATTATCAGTGTCACTGATGAACATTCACGTCCATGTCTCTTTGTGCACAGACACAGGCGTTTCCCTGTAACAAACATCTAGAAATGAGATGGTTGGTTTGCATAATGAGAGCATTTGAGAATATAACAGATAGTTACAAGCTGTCCTTCAAAAATTCTTAAATCAATTTAAACTTCCATGACACGAGCATTGCATAATTCCTTGTAATATTGTCAATATTAGTAATCGTTAAATTTTATTCAGCTAATGGGAAAAATAGTGATTATTGCAGAAAGGATGGGGGAAAAAACTAGAAAATGAAAGTAGCTGGAATCTAGTACTATAAGCTACCCAAACCATCTATGCCCATGCTTTGTGACATTCAGAGACACCTGAACTACTTACACAAGCACAACCATTTATAGTCCCCATCCTGCAATTCCTAACACCCCTTTTTTTCCCTGCCTTCCTCCCAAGCCAGCGAGGTTCACTCGGAGTAACTTGCTTCACTCTACTCATTATACCGAAGGCTTGTAGGCTGCCGACACAGACCAGGTTGCCACATGACCTTGGGTGATCAAGAAGGCAAGCTTTAACGCATCAGCGAGTCTGTTTACTTTGTTAAGAATCAACTGTGCACTCTCCAGAGCTGCAGCCCTACTGCCACAGCCAGGGACAAGCAATTCGTCTGCTTTTGCATTCCCAGAGGATTTTCAGCACAAACAGGAGGAGTAAATGTACCCATCCCTCCCCACTCTAATAGGTATATGCTAACTATTCACAAATGTATGCTATTGTGTAAGTCCTTCCTGGTGAGTTTTAGACTAAAAAAATGCTTCTGGAATATGAGGAGGCCTGAGATAATTAGAGAATGATTGTGGAGAGGGGGGCGGAAAGGCCAGACTGGTGTTATGCCGAGGGAGGAGGAGCGGAAGAGCACGGGTGGACTTGTGAACAAGTCCTAAGTCTTCCCAGCTTACGTGTGATTTCTGCATAAGACACCGAATCCCCCTGAGCGCCCGCGCCTTTGTGTTTCAGGTAAGGCATTCTCAGGTAAGGCATGCTAACCATGCGGCAGCTGCCTCTCCAGGTGCTTGGGAGATGTGTGAGAATAAAACCAGGTCCCTGCCCTGGAGCAGGAATGGACTCCAAAAAAATTAGATTTATTCTTCTATTCAAGATGTATTACTGAACTGAATTTTTACCTGGTGCCAAACGCTGTTCCAGGAGTTGATTTTCATTTTCTTTTTTAGGTCTCCTCTTTTCCAGAATTATTTAATGAATTACATATGACACACTGAAACTGTCCACCACGTATGGTATATGAGCAGCTAATGCAGCTGGGATTGTTATTCTTATTACTCTTTTCTTTATTACATGCTCTTCTGTTCCTTTCAAAGATGGTTTTATTCCTCTATTCATTTTTGTATTTGCTTTTTTAGGTGTTTGTTTGTACTGGTCTGTCTGTTACTACTCTGTCTCTGCTTCAGTATCTTTTCACCTGGTTTTTGTCAGTGTTGGTTTGCTGGGACGGACACACAGGGCCACCATCATCACCTGGAACCAGAGAGGGCAACCACACAGAGAGGAAGGGTATGTGGACTCCTTCATCAGCCTGTAGCGGCGCTTTCCAGGGGTGTCTTATTCTTGACTGCCTGATGCATGGTCCTCACCAGGATAACTCCTCAGGTGGATGATGTTCTAACAGGGAGACACGGAAGATGGAGAGGCAAAAGGACAGAGCTGGGCGGCTGAGTCGTGGTTGGAGAAGGCAGTCAGCAATGTCTGTGCTGCTCCCTCTCACCCATTCCTACCCCCCAGGCTCCCAGTCAGGTCCAACGGCACCTTCTCCCCAATCTCCAGGGCTCACAGACCTCCTTCCTGGCACTAATCACACTGGAGAGCAGTGACCCCGCATCATCTTGATCTCTCATCAACTCTGTGACTTGAAGGCAGGAATGGCATTTCACCCCCGTGGTTTTTTATGCCAAAGCATAACCAGGTTCACATGAGACCCTTAATAAATTCCTATATGATGAACGCACGAAGGGAGAAAGTAGAAGAGTTAACAGGGCAAGAGCCTAGGGGCAAAGCACAGGTAGAAAGTAAATCTCCAGAAGGAATGAAAAGGGAACCTTGACCTTCACATAATGACCCTTATTCAACAGTGCCATGTGGACAGGAAGGCCAGAGGACTCAGAGCGCAGGACCGGGGCCTCGGAAGGGGAACGCCCTTTCTCAACAGAAAGAAAAAACTGGACTCGTCTCCTTTGCCATCCCCTTCTCTGTCTCTTCCTCTGGTTGATGTCCAACCATTTAATGGACCTACTGTTTCAGTGACAGAGAGCTGGGTTCAATTCCCATCTCCTCTACGGAACCTTCCTCATCTCCACGAAGCCAGACATGACACATGGGTCAAGAAATCTGTGGGTCTAGCTTTCCTCACTTTTTACTATATTGAAATATTCAATCCAACCATCTCAACTAATGATGGTTTTTTTTTTTTTTTTTTTTTGCTTTTCAGAATCTTCTGCAGCTAGCTACAAATTTAAGTGATAAAGAAAGTTTGAGAGCATCATTTCTACTATCTTACTCAACCCTACTTCTGTTAATGATGAGTCACTGAAGTGCCAAGAATAGGTACCAAAAGCTTGTACAGCATATTAATATGTTCAGCAGCAAACCACCCTTCACTCCCGATATAATCTTAAGTTTCCTCTGGGAGGGGGGAAAGTGTTTCTCTGGATTCTTTTTATAAAAGCACCTTGAAAAAGCTTCTAGATACTCAAAGACATGAATCTTTTTCTGTTCCCTTGTGTATATCTGATTTAAAGGTTAATAAGTAATTAGGAAGAACACTCATCCCAAAATTACCAATTAATATGCCATCATTTTCATTAAAAATGTGATTAATTTATTGTAGCACAAATGTCTTGGACTGGCTAATAAAAAAGTTACCTAAAGCAGTTCTAAATCTTTCATGGAGAAAGAGAAATTAATCAAAATCAATCACTTTTTAAAATTACGGTTTGGGTTTGAGAGATCAAACAAAGGAGCGGAAATGAGTGTCTCCATTATTTAGTGTGGATAGAATCTGACAGGGTTCCATGGTTTATCTTAGACTCTGAGTCATTATTACTAAGAAAACCTAATAAGATATCTTGGCAGATGTTTAATATGGAAGTTTGACAAATAACAGTTCTTTGGTTCTTGTAATATAAAGCAGCCCTTTTATAAATGAGATCAAACTTTTAAAAGTATCCAGATATATTTTGTTGGTTTCCTAGGAGACTGTGAATGGAACATTATGACTAAAGTATGTTATGTATTTAAACTTTGTTCCATACCTTAAATGCTGGCATTAGTCATGTATTAAAAATTCACAGAATTCCAAAGTTGAAGAGTTCATGATTAAACTTGTACCATCACTCCAAGAACTCTGCCAGATTTAACTGTATTTAATGGTTTTACAGATCCTCAGACTGCAATTTCGCCCTCACCAACTCCTCCCGGCATCTGCCCGGTTCCAACCCCTCTTTCTATTGTGTGCGTGGAACACGGCTGAGTTGGCCGGCTGGTTTAGTGTTTGATGGAGTTTAGAACAGCACAAGAGGCAGCTCAACACCATGTGGATATGTAACAAGCTCTAATGGGAGTCCTTGTCGTGAGTGAAATGAACCAAATGTGGTGTTAGGAACTACACGATCGATTCAGACACAAACTAATGATTTTCTGATGCATCATAGATATTTATTGGTTGCTAGGCAACCAAATATTTCCACACTGACACCAGGGAAAACTTGTATTGCTAAGCTCGGATTGGCCGTGTCCGTAATTAATTCTGCATGGGACTGTCTCCCAGTGTCTCTGGCATAGAAGAAACCTAAAAAGACACTTAATCCGAAGATCAATTCCAGGCTTGCATCTATTGGAGCAGTTCCTGAGCTGGGAACTTTCATTCCTCAAGGCATGTTTGGATGCTTCTTCCTCATATTGAACAAAGATGTGTCTGCCTACAGGCCTCATGAATGTTGCTCCCATTCTTTACATAGAGCAAACTGTACCTCCTCTTCAATACTGAATATATTTGGAGAGGGCTTACACGTTTTCCCTGCATCTTTTTTTTCCCCCCCTCCAGAGTAAACACATCCAACTCATTGGTTCAACTCCATTTTCTCAAATACTGATTGTTCTCCCCTCCCAGTGAATGACACCATAATGCTTCAAAGGGCAGCAGCTTGGATCGGTTGTGGTGGTTTAGTTTAGAGTGATAGCTAATGACTTGCAGGCTGTTGCATTGTTGGAAACTGCGATTGAAACTGACACAGGAATAAGAAGTCAAAGGGTGTGGGCAGGCACCTGATCTATTTTTTATCCTGACTTGGAAAAAGCTATCTATGAGTTAGCATAGTTTTGTGCCTTATTCGAACCTTGTAAGACCAATGGAAACTTCCAGTATCTTCAGGGATACATAATAGATTTATGCAGCTTAAGAACAGTTTCAGATGTGATGAGATCATTTAAAGTAATGTTTTCTAAATTTGGCCATGTGTCTGAATCACTCTAGAGCTTCTAAAAATACAGATTCCTGGGATCCATCTCCAGGGCTGCTGAACGGGTAACCTCCCGAAGTCCCCAAAGGAATCATGTCTGGCAGCCACTGACACAGGGTACACAACATAAAGTGGGTCTTTCCTTTTAGCTAAATTCTACCTAGACCACAAAGCTCCGCAGCACCACATTGTTTAGCTGCCTATTGCAGTTGACCCATGTAGCTCTTTTCTTAAAAAGTCTCTTCAACTTGGGCTGGGGATATGGCTCAAGCCGTAGTGCGCTTGCCTGGCATGCACGGGGTGCTGGGTTCGATCCTCAGCACCACATAAAATAAAATAAAGATATTAAACTAAAAAATAAATATTAAAAAATTCTCTCTCTCTCTTTAAAAAAAGTCTCTTCAACTAATAATTAGTATTAAAAAGTTTAATATTTAGTTATTATTTTTACATGGCTTTGTGTCTTCTGAGTGTTAGTTCCCATGTTTATCCTAAGGAACATGGCACAATAGTGAATAGTCATGGGTTCACTGGTGAAGGGTTTTGGAGGCAGAAAGAGGAAAAAAAAAAGAGACAAATAAGAGGCAGATACGGGAACACAGCTGGAAATGTTGAAGACTGGGGGGATAAAGACATGTTTTGGAGGAAGTTTCTTCTGCATCAAGCATGTGGCCTGCTACCAGACGGAAGAGACAGAGTTGCCAAGGGCAACTTGATCTCCCCTCCTCCAATTTCATCTTCAGAGATGCTAGACAGTAAACCACAAGACAATGCTGTATGAATATGGCCATCAGTTTATTAGTATCTGAGTTTTCAGCCCATCCAAAAAAGCCAGATGTGAATGAATTCTATTTCTGTTAGTGCAATTCTATCACCTCTCATAATGATGTTCACCTAGATGGTCAGGCACCTAAAAAAAGCTCCCAAGTAAGGATCCAGAGATCTCTTAGGTTGTTACACAGAATTTTTTTCAACATCAATTTCAATTTTAAAAATCAAATTTAAAAAACGATGCTTCCATGAGATAAAAATTGATAGGATAGAGTTGAAAATAAAAGAATAAAATAGGATATGTCAGGAAAACATGGAAGAAAAAAGCAAGGGTAGTGTACTCATATTAAAGAATGAATTGGACAACGGGTTAAATACATATTGATACAAGGCCTAAAGATGCCAGGAGAGTCAGCAAACACTAAACCCAGAATAGCATAGTATCATTCTATGAAAACAAAAATTGTTAGGAAACACATGAGTACTATTAAAATTGTTTGAAATACTATAATTTTCAGACAGTTCCAGGAAACAAAAATAAACAACTGTGGACATAAAACACTCAAATTAATTCATGTTTGAATAAATAACTACACATTGTACCTTAACAACAATAAATGATCTTCTCAGGTGTCATGTGCCACATACAAATACTGATCATAATCAGGACCAAAATGTATTTCAGTACATGTCTCAAGTAGAAGTTGTACAACTTCATTATTGCAGTAATAAAATGTCATTAGAAACTAATAATGGAACTTCAAAGGGTTAAAACACCCCAAATTACTTGCTTGGATATTTTAGAAATAGTTGCATAAATAATGATCCAGTTAAGCAAGTTATAACATAACATATTTGAGAACATTATTTAACTAAAAGCTCTGAGGTACAGCCAAAGCTGTTTTACTAGTAGATTCATAACCCTAGAAGCTTTAAAGAAAAAAAAAGACTTATATGAGAACAGAACTAAATATTCTACTCAGAATTTAGGCATAAAAGACAAAGAGATAGGGAAAGAAAATAATAAACATAGAAGTGAAAGATAAAAAGAAACGTTATAATGAGAGGAAATAATTTTATTTTATAGAATCCATAGTTAAGACCCAGCACAGATTCTTTAAATAGAACAGGCACATCACTGGGAAATTTAATTCAAAAAACGAAAGGAAAACAATAACTTGTAAAATATCATTTAATAATATTTACAAAGAAGACTGACTTACAGAATAAAATAAATTATTCTGAGTGATAAAATTAAAAATCTTGGTGAAACAAAAATTATTTGAGAAGATTAGCCTCAGCAAAAGTGAGGCGCTAAGCAACTCAGTGAGACCCTGTCTCTAAAATACAAACTAAGGCTGGGATGTGGCTCAGTAGTTGAGTGCCCCTGAGTTCAATATCCAATACCACCCAAAAAATTGTTTAAGAAAAATGTATATCAAGATGAACTTTAAGGGGGTGATCATGAACTGAAATCTATTTTCATGAATGTCTTGAGTTTGTCAGGATGAACCCAACTACTATATATAATCATAAAGATCTAATAAAAAAAGATAAACATAATAAAAAAAACTATAGAAAAATAAAAATAAATTCAACTTCTTATCAGGAGATTATTTGTATTTCCAAGTAGAGACTTCAGCAATTAGGGGAGAATATGGGGCTCTCAGAGATGAATCTGGATCTTGACAATAATTTCTGCAACATAACTAAAGTAGAATAGTTTAGATTTTTATTTAAGATGAAAACTGGAAATAAAAATAATTCTGGAAAACAAAATATTAAATACAACTCTCTGGCTAAATGCTAAGAACAAGTTAAAAAGAGACTCAACTATTTCAAGACCTGGCCAAGGAAAACCCCAAAATAATAGGAACTCAAATCATACCAGATAGATGTTGAAGGATTTTGCTACATGAGCAGGTCAGTGCCTAAGTCTGTTTAAAAAATAAACCAAGTTCTCCCTGGAGCCCTGCTTTACTAAATGGCCCTAAGTGGCCATGGAGAGAACAGCCTTCGAGAACTTTAAGAATAAAGTGACCAGGGCTGTGGGGTGCAGCTCAGTGCTGGAGTCCTTACCTAACAAGTGCAGGGACCTGGGATCAATGCCCAGCACCAGAAAATAAAGATAAATAAGTATATAGACACATAGATAAATAAATAAAGTGGCTCACAAAATAAAAGAACCATGAGAGATGCGCTCTTAAGAGGAAAGGGCAGATTCCTCTTCAAATGATGGTCTCCATGAACTGAAGGTCCATAAGAAAAGGTACTAACTGATCCTTTAAATAACTTGTCACAGTCCATCTCTCCTAATGAATCTGCCTCCAAAATTTATTTTAAACCTACACATGTCTCCCTGTCTCTGCCACTACCACCCCAGTCAGATGTCACTACCAGGAACCGGGAAGATACAAGGGCCAGTGGGAACTGATGTCCTGGCCATGCCACCTCCTGCAACTAAGAGGCAGAGTGTCTTTCCACAGCACAAATGAGGGCCTGCGTCCCCTCTGCTCAAATCAGTGGGAAGCATCAAATGCAAATGCATGCCTTTCCTCTTAGTCACTGTCTCAGGACCCGTTTCCTGGGATTGGCCAACACGTCTGGGTCCCAGCAGTGATGTCTGCCTAAAGCCCTCTTGGATCACATGGTTTGCTACTGGAATGCCTTATTTCCTCTCTAGCCCTTCTCACAGCTGGGAAATAACTAATTTGGGGAGGGGAGGTGGGCTCTTTTGTTACCCCCATCAGAACGAAAACCCCGTGAGCTCAAGAAAACTCAATATAGAATATTTCTGTAACATATTTCCAGTGCCCAGCCCAATGTCAGTCAAGCTGTGGACACTCAATGCTTGTGAATGACGAGTACTTTGGATAAACTGTGATTATTTCATTAGTTTTTGTTAAAAAGTAAACTGAAGCACACTAAAATTTTAAAGAATATTTGAACAAACGGTGACTCATGAGTTGGGCCGCTCCACCCTAAAAGTGGTCAGGAACTCCACCGAGGGAAGGCAAGGGGACAAACCAGGAAGACAAGCTAACAGTCGACTGGTTATGATTACACAGCTGCCTTGTTTGGCCTACTCTGGTTATATAATTATGAGTCTGCTGGTTGATTCTGATTGGTTGAGCTTAAATTCCAATTTCTTTTAAACATAAGCATTTATGAGAAATATCTCATGCCAAGTTTTGCTTCTGTTTGCGAATCAGATTTAAAGTTACATACGAGGCACCCAACTGGCTTGTCTGTTTGGGGATCCTTCAGGCCTGGTCTCTATACTAGCTTACTTTAACCCTTTGTTGCCAATGTTATTGTTTTCCTCAACTGGATTGTTCCATGAAAGTTAGGTCCTTTGTGTCTTGTTGAGGCACCAAACATGGTGCTTGGCACTTAGCAAAGAGTCAATGATTCTTTGCAGAATAACTAAATGAATAAAGGTACTTAAAGTTCTCTAGGAAGTGAAGTTTCTCTCTCCTTAGCTTTCTGTACTACCTGGAACATATTGTACCTACTGGAATTCCTCATTAACAATTCCGTTATCCCAATATTTTTCAAATATCACAGCTCCTATTAACAGTTGGGTGCCCAATGGGAACGGAAGACAGGCTGTGTGAATTAACTGTCCCAAATGAGGCTGCTGCTGATTAATTTTAGATCCTGAGCATCTGGGTCAAGGCTTAGTTTCATGACAGGTGTGAAATGATCTCTTTGGTGTCATTAATGATTTTCCTAAAGGCTAGGAGCACTTGAAGGATTCCTTCACAGGAGATTCGAGAAGTGAACTGAGTGGACAATTTTTTTTTTTTAAACCTACATGTTCTGTATTGTATTTTTTACCAAGTAAGCTTTTATCTTATGATTCCTAACGTACCTTAACAATCACATCACTCAGTCAAAAATTAGACATTATATTTGTTTAAAGAATAACCAATGTTCCAGTAAGATGAGAG